TAGCATATCCAACCAATAGTTTGAAAATATAGCACGTTGTACTTTCGGCTGATGTTTTAGTACAATTATAATATTATTTGTGAATAATATAGAATATTTTAGATGCTTTTATAGATGTTATAAAATATTTTAAGTATTTATGATATTTATATATCACACTTAAATAAAATATTTTGCCAAAAAAAAACAAACATTAAATACACAATATAAATGTTAATAGAAACAGTCTTCAGTGATCATCTTTAATTTTGTCAAACCAAATCTCATAAAATCGGTGAAGTATAAATTTGTACGTAAAGTCTATTTATACTAAAAAAAAGGTAGATTCAAAATTCATGAATTATCTAATTTCTTCTTTTCCTTATTGATAATTCCTTCTTATTATCTAATTGTATATAAATCTGTTCTGATTTTGTTCAATCCTCTAATTGTATTTGTATTATATCCTATAAAATCGGTTTAACAAAAAAAATCCAATAACATCCGATAAGTAAAAAAAAGTTCGTAAAATCTTTACAAAAAAAAGGCTTTATTTATTATCTAATTTTATGGAAATTTGTTCTTATTTTATAACCCATACTACAAATTGTGCACCCGTGTTCAGGAACTATTTAACGGGCAAACTCTGTAACACCCCGGACTAAAATTATATTAGTAGCTCGACTTATTTATCGAAATTAGTATTATTTTAATTGTGCGGAGAATTATTTATATTAATTGCATAATTTATTTATTTTCAAGCCCAAGTAGTATTTTAAATAATCGAGCTTAGTAACAATTATTTATCCGAGCCCAAGTCGTTAAAATCGAGCTCAATCTATTAGGCCCGATTTCTAAGCCCAATAAGAGCAAAACCCTAAGCTACACACCCTCCTATAAATAGAATGTCCCCATGTCTCCCAACACACCTACAAGAAACCCTAGCCCCCAAGTTACTATTCATTCTTCTTCTTCAACCCCACCACCTCCATTGAAGCTTAAAACACCACCTTCCATTTCCCTCTCCTCCAACTCCGTTTTTCCGGCGAGCTCACGCCCCAGCAACTCCGTCGCGTCCCAGCCTCGGTTCTAGCCTTTTCACGGCCGTCCTCAAGCTCGCACCTGCCCTCAGTTCGTGCCCCCGTTCAGATCCACCACGAACCAGTCCAGCGAACACCACCATCTCCGACGAACCACCATCCCCGTCGAGCAGACCAGCAGCCCAGCTCAGCTCCGCCGTGTCGCTCCAACGCCGTCTCGGCCAGTGACCCGCGACTGAGCAGTCCAGACCCGGAGACCAACATAGCTCAGATCCGCAACCACCCGACGAGTTCACGCCGGAAAAGGGCCACCATTTCCGGCGAGCTTCTCACAGCGAGTTCACAGCACTATTCCGGCGTCCCGCCGCTGCTCGGAGTTACTGTAGCTCAACGACCAGCAGCCCAGCAGCCCAGATCCGAGTCCAGCGCCTCAATAACTGACCCGAACTTGTTGCCCGATCCGTTTTTCAAATAGCCGACCCATTTTCCTAGTCTTTATCAAGTTCCAATTTCCAATTTAAACCCTTCGATAGGTATATCGGCTTAAACCTTACTCCATGAGATTAATTGAGTATTTAGATGAATTTTAAAATTTACGGGAGGAGATTTCGAGCATTATAAGATTTATGGTGAATTTATCGGCTTAAATGACATTAAATTCCGTAAATATTGGTTGCTACCTGGAAAAATGCAAAACTAGCGTGATAAAATTCGTATAGTTGACTTGAGGCCTAGGTTTTAATTTCGTAATTTTTGATGCTCGTTTAGTATGTTAACTGGATTTTTGAATATGTAGTTGAATGCTCGATTTATGAGAAATATGATAAGACCTCGGAATTCAATGCAACTTTCACGAAAAATCCTATAAATGCTGAATATGTCGTGGTTTAAATTTCATAATTTTTAGAGGTCGTTTGGTATGCCTACAAATTCGAGACTTTAGCTGCTTTGGTGAAAACCCTAGAATTTATCCGGTTGAGACTTGGCTAAAATTACTAGAAATTGAGTTGACCTTAAAGTTTGAGTTTTTGACTTGAACCGAGAAAGATAGCCAGTTGAGTAGAGAACCCTAGCTTGGCCCTTTTCGGTCAGTCCGGATGAACGCTAAATCCGAGTAGAAAAGTTGTGCGTCGGCTGATGTCGTGTCCGTGCGTATGCACCCGGACCACGATTAAGTCGAGTTGCACCCAGTCAGATAAATAAGATCAGATCAGTCAGATAAGTTAGATCAGATAAATCAGATAAGCAGACCAGACTTAGAAATATTTCAGAGAACTCTAGAATGCCTCAAAGTCAGCAAATCTTTTCAGAATAGCTCAAAGCATCTAAATCCAGATTTAAATGATATTTTAATTGAGCGAGAGAACCGAGTAAGATCTATTAATGATAAGAATCAAGTTTTTATTTGAGCTTAGTACTTAGTACATTTTGCTCAAATATTTATGTAGCTTAAGGAGAGTCGAGCCTCCGACAGCTACCAGTCAGTCAGCACTTGCCTAGCAGTAGCAGTTATTAGGTGGGGGTCACGTACTGGTTATACATCATCTTTAATTTCCGTACCATGTCCGAGGTATGTATGAGAAATAGTTAGATCATCATGAGGGAGGTCGTGGCGGGCCTTAATGATCCCCCGTGATTCTGAGGGAGGCCTTAATTGGCCTTAATGATCCCCCGGAGTGTGCACATGATTGGCTTTTAAGCCCAGGGTCTTTATGACCATCAGATGCCCTAGTTACAGTTTCAGTTCAGATCAATTATTATATACTTAAAGTCATGATATTGTTATTAACGATGCTATATAATTAAGTATTGCTCTTTGCGGAGCATAGTGGTTTTGCTCACGCCCCCACTACGTTTTTCAGGTGACGGAGCGGCGCGTGGCGCGTGAGATTTCAGTGGTGGTCATGGTCATTAGCAGTCTTTTTGTAACGCATCTGCATGTCATTTATTGAACATGTACTATTATTACTATGCGTAGACATTATGTTTCAGCTTCCGCACATTTCAGACTTAGTATGTATTATGAGATTATCAAACTTATGCATGTATAATGCATTTATCTCCGTGGTACCTTTATATAACGGATTTGATTAGGTTGCATGTATTTATTTACGTCTGCATGAGAAAGAGTTTAAGTTAGTAGCATCCCGCAAGTTAGTATGAGTATTTTCGAAAAAAAAGTTTAAGAGTTTTTCGAAAATAAAAAGCAAAAATTTTACTCTGATTTTATAAATTCTAGAAATAATTAGGCGGGGTGTTACAGTTGGTATCAGAGCCACTTTGTGGTTCTGTATACTTAAAAGAGTTTAGAAAAGTATGACCACGCCACGCTCACGCCGCGCCGACTCCGAGGTAAGTCACCTAAGTTTTTAAATTTTTACAAGTGCATGAGACTATAGTAAGAAACCTTAGGGGCCATCTATCCTCCGACTAGAAAGAGAACTTTAGACAGAATTATAGAAAGTTTATCTAAGTCCAACTCTAGACTTTATCAGAATTTGAAATAGAATCAGTAGAGTTAAGCAGAAACTGGAACTCTAGCCAAGCTAGGTGTTTTCGGTAAATTACTTAAATTCGTCAAGTAGTGTAGCTATTTATTAATTGGCTATACTAATCAAGTTGTTATTTGGCTATTCAGAATGCCACCCCGTAGAGCCCCACCCGCAGAGCGGGATCAGTCAGTAGTCGCAGCCCAGTTACGGACTTACGCCCCTCTGGTTTTCACTAGAGAGGAGGGCCCGTTGGCCGTAGGAGACTGGATCTGCAAGATGGATCGTATTTTCCGGAAGATGGGCATATCCGACTAGCACATGGTCTCTTGTGCCGAGTTTCAGATAGAGGGCGCGACCGGAGACTGGTGGGACGATTACTGGCGTCTCAGGACAGCTGACGAGCGAGACCAGCTGACTTGGGATCAGCTTAAGGGGATTTTAGAGGCCAAGTACTACCCTCGCCACTTTCGCGAGAGGATGGAGCGAGAGTTCTATGACTTGCTTCAGGGAGACCGCTCGGTTGAGGAGTACGAACGGGAGTTCGCTCGTAAGAGCACCTTTGCACGCCATCTTGTGGACACCGACGACAAGAAGGCCTCCCTTTTTCGCAATGGCCTGACCAGAGACCTTCGAGTGCTTGTAGCCAGCCATGGCTATTTGACTTATGCTGAGACCGTTGAGCGGGCTCAGCAGATTGAGGCATCCCAGCTGCTAGACACTCCTGCACAGCCACTAGCTCAAGTGGCACCACTAGCCAGACAGCCAGCTGCCATCCAGCCAGCCCTGCCAGCGCCACCTCAGCAGGCGCAACACCGACACAAGAGGAAGTGGAGAGGTCGCGATTATAGGAGGAACCGTCGACGAGGAGCCCCAACACAGGCAGCACCACCAGTCCCGCAGCCCTCAGCTATTTGAGCTACTTGTCAGCGCGTCCACCGGGGAGAGTGCCTGGCTGGGCAGGACATTTGCTATCGTTGCCGCAGGCCCGGTCATAGGTCGCAGACTGCCCAGATCACCCACCGCCCCAGCAGGGCCAGAGACCGCCAGCTCATAGACAGCCAGCACCGAGACAGCCAGCTCAGCACCCACCTCGAGGTGCACCTGCCCGCATTTACGCACTTGACCAAGAGCAGGCCGCCGAGCAGCCAGGTACCATGTCTAGCATGCTCTCTTTACTCGATGTACCTGTCTTTGCTTTGTTCGATACCGGGGCGACACATTCGTTCATCCCGGACAAGTGTCTAGAGGCCATAGGGGTCCAGGGTGTGAGTGACGTCGACCCCCTCGAGATCAGCCTAGCTTCGTGGAGGAAGATAGTCACGAGTTCCCTGGCCAAGAACCTTAGCATGTGTAATGGAGGCAGAAATCTAGAGGTAGACGCATTCGTGATCGAGATGAGGGACTTTGACCTTATTCTCGGCATGGATTGGTTGGAGAGATATCACGCAGACATCCGATGCCGTGATAGAGAGTTGACGCTGCACTTAGCCGATGGAGACCACATCACATTCTTCGGGACGAGGACGAGGACTTTACCGCGTATCATTTCCATGGCGAAGGCGACTAAGTGCCTACAGAGGGAGGATTGTCAGGGATATCTAGTCACTATACTCGGGGAACCTTCGGAGGAGCGCATGCCCGGAGATGTACCCATAGTGAGAGATTTTGTGGACGTCTTTCCGGATCTGCTACCGGGAGGACCACCTAGTCCTCAAGTGGAGTTCATGATCGACCTATTGCCTGGAGCTGGGCCAGTGTCGAAAGCACTGTATCGTATGGCGCCGAAAGAGCTTCAGGAGTTGAAGGCTCAGATTCAGGAGTTGTTGGGTCTCGGCTTCATCCGGCCGAGCGTTTCACCTTGGGGACCACTTGTCCTCTTTGTGAAGAAGAAGGACGGGACACTGCGCATGTGCATCGACTACCAGGACTTGAACCGGTTGACGGTGAAGAACAAGTATCCACTCCCCAGGATAGAGGACTTATTCGACCAGCTGAGAGGTACACGTGTGTTTTCCCGGATAGATCTTCGTTTGGGTTACCATCAGTTGAGGATTCGGGAGTCTGACGTGGCGAAGACCGCGTTTCGTACCCGATACGGTCACTATGAGTTTGTCGTGATGCTGTTCGGCTTGACCAATGCGCCGACAGTATTCATGGATCTCATGAACCGTGTCTTCCACCCATTCTTGGATCAGTTTGTCATTGTCTTCATAGATGACATTTTGGTCTACTCGAGGAGCACAGCCCAGCATGAAGAGCATTTGAGGATCGTGTTGGAGACTCTTAGGCGGGAGAGATTGTACGCCAAGTTCTCGAAGTGCGAGTTTTGGCTCGATCGAGTGGCATTCCTCGGTCACATTGTTACAGCCGAGGGCATTGAGGTCGATCCCGGGAAGATTGAGGCAGTGAGGAACTGGTCAGCACCAAGGTCTGTTACCGAAATACGGAGTTTTCTCGGGTTAGCAGGCTACTACAGGAGGTTCATTGAGGGGTTTTCGAAGATAGCCCTACCCTTGACACGCTTGACGAGGAAAGGGACTAAGATCGATTGGAGTAGCCGTTGTGAGTCGAGCTTTCAGGAGCTCAAGAGGAGGTTGACTACGGCACCCGTGTTGACTATTCCGGACCCTACACGGAGTTTTACTATCTATAGTGATGCTTCGAAGCAGGGACTTGGGTGCGTGTTGATGCAGGAGGGCAAGGTTGTCGCTTACTCTTCGCGACAGCTGAAGCCCCACGAGGAGAACTACCCGACTCATGACATTGAGTTGGCAGCCGTTGTCCACGCACTCAAGATTTGGAGGCACTATTTGTATGGTGGTCGGTGCAAGATCTACACCGATCACAAGAGTCTGCAGTATATCTTCACGCAGAAGGAGCTCAACATGCGCCAGAGGCGATGGTTGGAGCTGGTGAAGGATTATGATTGCACCATCCAGTATCATCCGGGGAAGGCGAATGTGGTAGCTGATGCCCTTAGCCGAAAGGTGAGGGGCGAGTTGACTTGCATGATTACCCAGCAGAGTCAGCTCCTTCGAGAGTTCGCTCGGATGCAGTTAGACGTCGTCGAGTCACTTTCTACGATGCCTGTAGTAGGAGGTGTTTGGTCGATGAGAGTGTGGCCCATGCTCCGAGATCGAGTTCAGAGAGATCAGTCCGTTGATGAGTTCGTCCGTTCCATGAGGGCGAAGGTTGTTGCCGAGGGCATAGAGGGGTTTTACCGAGGCGCGGATGGTGCCTTGGAGTATAAGGGAAGGCTCGTTGTGCCGAATGTCGAGGACCTGAGGAAGGAGATCTTGACCGAGGCTCACAATGCACCCTATTTGGCGCACCCCGGTAGCACCAAGATGTACCACGACCTGAAAGGGTCATTTTGGTGGAGGGGCATGAAGAGAGACGTTGCTGAGTTTGTGAAGAAGTGCTTGGTTTGCCAGCAGGTGAAAGTCGAGCACAAGTTTCCACCGGGTGTAGTGCAGCCCTTGGAGATCCCACTGTGGAAGTGGGAAGAGCTTACCATGGATTTCGTTACGGGACTACCCAAATAGAGGGAGCAACATGATGTGGTTTGGGTAGTTGTGGACCGACTGACGAAGACGGCTCGTTTCTTGCCCGTGCGGACGACGATGTCCATGGACCAGCCCGCGATGATCAATATTCGCAGGGTAGTGCGACTGCATGGAGTCGCCAAGGTCATAGTGTCAGATCGAGACCCTCATTTTACCAGTCAGTTCTGGAAGAGCCTCAGCGAGGCCGTGGGGACACAGTTGAGGTTCAGCACCGCTTTCCACCCGCAGACCGACGGGCAGTCGGAGCGGACCATCCAGACACTCGAGGACATGCTTCGAGCATGTGTTCTGGACCGTGGTAGTTCATGGGAGGAGTTGTTGCCGTTGATTGAGTTCGCGTACAACAACAGTTATCAGGCGTCGATCAGGATGGCACCGTACGAGGCGTTGTACGGTCGCAAGTGCCGATCACCCCTTTATTGGGATGAGGTCGGCGAACAGCAGGTTCTCGATCCGAAGCTGATCGAGGACACGGTGGAGAAGGTCGCCTTGATCCGTGAGCGGATGAAGGTGGCGCATGATCGACAGAATTGTTACGCTAACCAGCGTAGAAGAGATATCCAGTTCGAGAAGAGAGATTAGGCATTCCTGAAGATCACGCCTTTGAGAGGCGTGGTTCACTTCGGGAAGAGGGGAAAGCTGCAGCCCCGTTTCTTAGGCCCATTCGAGATCCTCGAGCGAGTGGGTGAGGCCGCATACCGGTTGGCGTAGCCACCTGAGCTTTCGGGTGTGCACAACGTCTTCCACGTTTCGATGCTGAAGGATTACGTGTATGACCCAGCGCACGTGTTGAGTTACTGTGAGCTTGACGTCGGGCAGGACCTGACGTACGAGGTGCAGCCGTTTGCTATTCTGGACCGAAAGGTTCAGCAGTTGAGGAGCAGAGATGTAGCGCTCGTTCGAGTCCGGTGGACTCGCCACGGCGAGGCCGAGGCCACGTGGGAGCGAAAGGAGGAGATTCGAGCTCGCTATCCAGATTTCCAGTTCTGATTAGTAGTATCGTATTATGTATTTTCAGTTTCTAGTTTTAGTCGAGTTGGCCTTATGTTTAATTTTGTCATTTCCGGGAACGGGAATGTTTTAAGGAGGATAGATTGTAACACCCCAGACTAAAATTATATTAGTAGCTCGACTTATTTATCGAAATTAGTATTATTTTAATTATGCGGAGAATTATTTATATTAATTGCATAATTTATTTATTTTCAAGCCCAAGTAGTATTTTAAATAATCGAGCCTAGTAACAATTATTTATCCGAGCCCAAGTCGTTAAAATCGAGCCCAATCTATTAGGCCCGATTTCTAAGCCCAATAAGAGCAAAACCCTAAACTACCCACCCTCCTATAAATAGAATGTCCCCATGTCTCCCAACACACTTACAAGAAACCCTAGCCCTCAAGTTACTATTCATTCTTCTTCTTCAACCCTACCACCTCCATTGAAGCTTAAAACACCACCTTCCATTTCAAGATTTAGTCCAAAAAATCAACATTTTGTCTTAGCTTGTTCAAGGAAATGAGCTTTATTCCTCCAACCACCATGGCTTGACCGTTTTCCGGCGAGCTCCCAATTTTCCGGCCAAACCCGTAGCCCTAGCTCAGCCCACAGTCGCCGGTGACGACCACCAGCATCACCGCGACTCTCAGCCCATTACCGCATCTCAAGACCCGACCAAACCCGCAGCTCAAGACCCGACCACCGCCCTCTCCTCCAACTCCGTTTTTTCAGCGAGCTCACGCCCCAGCAGCTCCGCCGCGTCCCAGCCTCGGTTCTAGCTTTTTCACGATCGTCCTCAAGCTCACACCTGCCCTCAGTTCGCGCCCCCGTTCAGATCCACCACGAACCAGTCCAGCGAACACCACCATCTCCGACGAACCACCATCCCCGTCGAGCAGACCAGCAGCCCAGCTCAGCTCTGCCGCGTCGCTCCAACGCTGTCTCGGCCCGCGACCCGCGACTGAGCAGTCCAGACCCGAAGACCAACATAGCTCAGATCCGCAACCACCCGACGAGTTCACGCCGGAAAAGGGCCACCATTTCCGGCGAGCTTCTCACAGCGAGTTCACAGCACTATTCCGGCGTCCCGCCACTGCTCGGAGATACTGTAGCTCGATGACCAGCAGCCCAGCAGCCTAGATCCGAGTCCAGCGCCTCAATAACTGACCCGAACTTGTTGCCCGATCCGTTTTTCAAATAGCCAACCCATTTTCCTAGTCTTTATCAAGTTCCGATTTCCGATTTGAACCCTTCGAGAGGTATATCGGCTTGAACCTTACTCCATGAGCTTAATTGAGTATTTAGATGAATTTTAAAATTTACGGGAG